ATCACAGACTATCTTCAAGGTCTCAGAGGCCAAAATAAAAAAAACACCCCCTTCTAACTATAAAATAAAATAGCACTATCTAAAAGGTAATCAAAAGTGTACAAGGGCTGAGTTCCCTGACTGTCCACAAAACAAGAAAAAAATGTCTGGAACAAAAATGATAGAGAACCCCTACCAGATTCCCCTGTGAAGACAAGAACACATTTCCTTTTAGAACACATGCTTAACTGCTCACACAGTAATATTCACATTATGCTGCAAATTCAAGCATAATGTGCAAAAGATAAGATCACTGCAGAAGCTCTTTGTGGCGTGGCAAACGAGCAGCAACACATCTCACCTGTGACAGCCAGGTAGACCTGAGAGAAAGCTTTCTCGTGAAGAGAGCCCCTAGAGGTCAGTGACAGTAACACATGTAGAAAGAAAGAAGCAGGTGAAGATGATGGTTACAGTATATTTTGATATCCAGAAATATTCTGGTCAGTCCTGAAAATGTTCAACATTAAATACTATTTATGAACTCTCAGTGTAGTGTAGATCTGAGCTGCCATGTTGTGAAATTACTCACAAAAATAATTTTTGAAATCTCTAGTGACAAAACTGGCCACCGGGGGCGCTGCTAGTTTTCTGCTTTTGTAATTCACCACATTTGACACCGGAAGAGGAAGTCAGTAGTTGCTTGTTGTGAGCTCGTGTTAGCACGGCTTTTGTTACGTTTGAGAAACGCAATTTTCTGCCATAACTCAAAAAGGGTTTGCGTTTAAAATCGAAACCCTGTACCGATGCTAAGTACGTCCCAGTAAAGAGGCAGAGTGAATTGAACTCTGTGAGCCGGCGGCCTGGTTTACACGCAGCGGTGGAAGCTGAAGGAAGAGTCGCACCACCATGGCGGATGTTACTGCGCGTAGCCTGCAGTATGAGTACAAAGCGGTAAATATAGAAACACGAGAAGAACTGGACGCAAAAAGTTTTATATATTTTTATTCCATATGATTAATCCTGGTTAATCAGCCTGCTGTAATAAATATTTTTGTGTTGGTAGAACTCGAACTTGGTGTTGCAAGCTGACCGCTCTCTGATCGACCGGACTCGGAGAGATGAGCCCACCGGAGAGGTGCTGTCCCTGGTGGGGAAGCTGGAGGGGACCAAGATGGGCGACAAGGCTCAGAGGACAAAACCCCAGAAGCTCGAGGAGAGACGAGACAAGTCAGTAACAACCAGTAATGATTTTAAAATCAGACACTGCGGTTTGCCTACCTAACAATTCATTCACACGTGTTATGGTTACCAAAAAGTTTTACGATAAACTGATAAACTGAGAGAGGAGTAAAAGAAGCCATTTTTGTGAAGAAAGACCGTCCATCATTAAACAGAGGTGGAGGCCTCCGTTTTCAGTTGTCCCCCTCCTACAGTGCGGCTATTGCCAGTATCACTCCAACCCCCTGTTAACAGTAAGTGTTAATTAGGTGTCAACGATAGCCATGTGATGTGAGTATCAGTCACATGGAGGCAGGGCTTAAAAGCCTGAATTTTGCCTGAAACTCTCAGACTGAAGAAGTCTCTTGGAGGAGAGACGAAACATTTCATTAGAGAAGAACCCGTCCAGAAGACCTATACAGTTTTTTTCTTTTTGATAAACTGATTACTTCGATTGAAGGAGTTTTATAAAATCCTTTCAAATTACTCCAAGATCACATATCTGGTTAATAAATAGGAAAGTTGCAGCGTTTTAAAACTAAATTTGGGATAAAACATTGTCCTGATTTTCCATAGAAGAATGTGACAAGTTGTTATTTCTCACAAAAGTTGACACGATTTCAACATATTTTTTGGAAAGTGCCATGAAACCTCCAGCAAATGTTACTTAATGAATGTTCAGAAGCTTTTTTAATGGTTGAAATAGTTTTTATCAGTTAAATTTGACAAAATAACTAGCAATGTACCTTTATTCACCTCAGAAATCTGGTTGGTTACTTTAGAAAATGATATTGTCATTATACTGTTATAACAATTTCCTCATTTTGCTGGTGGAAAATAAAGTATTTGCTGTGAATTAAATGAGTTGATTTTTAAGAATATATATAGTTGAAAAGGTGAACTTGTCACCTATTAAGCAGTTGAAAAAGGAAGTAAAAGTGACAAATGTAATTCTGGGTCCTTTTCCTATTTATGGTCAACTCAAATTCTCATCATTCTAGCTCAGTATTCAAGAAAGTTAGATTTTACATTTTTAGGAGGGTTTCTGCCAGGAGGTTGAAAAGAGAAACATAAATTAATTGCTGCACTCTGAATATTGAGTTGAGGTGATGGTACATTTTAATATATGGTGCAGTCCTAATGATAAGAATAACTAATTCTCAGCAGAGTGAGACTAAATAAGATGTATGTTTTGCACTCTGTTAACACAACCATCTTCTGAAATAAAATAGAATAATATGATTTTTGTGATTCTTTTTAAAGAAAGGAATCAGATTTTTTGTTAGTGTGGTTTTATTCAACCACACTTTACCCCAAAAACATGTACAGTAGGTTACCTTCAGGCCCGGGCCTCCCTTAAAAAGAGATCTGTGATCTCAGTGGGATTTGCCTGCTTAAGCAATGGTAAAATTAAAAACTAAATTAATAAAATTCAAAAGTTCAAAGTGTGCTTTAGTAGACAGCAGTTTCAGCCTGGAGGAAAATATAAAAACCTGAACCATCTCTAACTGTAGTCCGCTCTGTCAAGTAACACTAACTTTATTGCTCATTTTCTTTTGTCCTCTTTTTTTCAGGAGACGAAAAAGAGACGAGGACAGACACGACATCAACAAAATGAAGGGCTTTACTCTTCTGTCTGAGGGCATCGATGAAATGGTGGGGATCGTGTACAAGCCGAAAACCAAAGAAACCAGAGAAACGTATGAAGTGTTGCTCAGCTTCATCCACGCTGCTTTAGGAGATCAGGTTTGTGCAGAACAACCAACATAATAAATTCATCCTGTTTAAGACCTCAGCTGACACCTTAGCCCTGTTATTGTCCACAGCCCCGTGATATTCTGTGTGGAGCAGCTGATGAGGTGTTAGCCGTGCTGAAGAATGACAAAATAAGAGACAAAGAGAGACGACGGGAAGTCGAGCAGCTCCTCGGACCTTCTGATGACACGCGCTATCACGTGCTGGTCAATCTGGGGAAGAAGATCACAGATTACGGAGGAGACAAGGATTTACAGAACATGGGTAAAAAGCTGTGCGATTATGTTACCTGTAAGCTTTTTATCCCCGACTCTTAATATAAGACATTTAATCTTTTATTTATAGATGACAACATTGATGAAACGTACGGTGTCAACGTGCAGTTTGAATCTGATGAAGAGGTAAACTGTTTTTATTTTGTTCAGAAAACACAGATGTTTGCTCTCCCAGAAGTTGTAAAAGTGCTAACTTTTTCTCGTTTTACAGGAAGGTGATGAGGACCAGTTTGGAGAAGTTCGAGACGAGCACTCGGATGAAGACAGTGAAGGAGAGGAAGCGTGTGTGACCACCACACTCACAGCTAATGTAAGTCACATTCTTCTCATTAGTCAGCATTTTAGCTGGTTTTTAAGTCAGAGTTTTGAAAAACCTGTTAATTCGTTCTGTGTTTGAAGCTCGGAGAAACCGGCGATGTGATGACCGTGAAGAAAAAAGATTTGCATCCCCGAGACATCGATGCCTTTTGGCTCCAGCGTCAGCTCAGCCGGTTCTATGACGACGCCATTGTCTCTCAAAAGAAAGCTGATGAAGTTTTAGAAATCCTCAAGGTTTGCCACCTGCTTTGTCTCTGTTGACAGTGGATTGACGTGGCTCTCCCCACTCTCAGCTCCTCTCACACCACTTGTGTTGTTCCACAGACTGCCAGCGACGACAGGGAGTGTGAGAACCAGCTGGTGCTGCTGCTGGGCTTCAACACCTTCGATTTCATTAAAATCCTCCGTCAGCACCGCCGCATGAGTGAGTCGCTGTAGCCGAACAACTCAGAATCTCATTGTTGTTTTGCAGTTGTTTTATTTGCGTTTTCCCCTCTGACACACAGTTCAGTATTGTACTATGCTGGCCAGCGCTCAGAGTGAAGCAGAGAAAGAACGGATTATAGGGAAGATGGAGTCGGATCAGGAGCTGTCCAAGATCCTTTACCAGCTGCAAGAGACGGAGAAGGAGGACATTATTCGGGTGAGACATCCTGTTTGTGACATTGTCTTAAACTGTTAATGTGTTGTTGTCACAACCATTTTTTTTTCCCCCTCAGGAGGAGCGATCTCGCCGGGAGAGGGTGAGGAAGTCTCGCGTTGATGACTTGGAAGCGATGGACGTTGACCACGGAGAGGTAAATATCTCGTCAGGTTTTCTTCAGAGCTCCGCACTCGTAATGAATGTGTGTGAAAACTGAAGCTGACCTGTGGTCCTACAGTCAGTGGTGCCCCGGCAGCTCCTGGACCTGGACGACCTGGCCTTCACCCAGGGCAGCCACTTCATGGCCAACAAGCGTTGCCAGCTGCCCGATGGCTCTTTTCGGAAGCAGCGCAAAGGTTATGAAGAGGTTCATGTGCCCGCCCTGAAACCTAAACCCTTTGCTGATAATGAGGTTAGTTGGTCGCGTCACCCAGCATGGAAAACAACAAAACACGTGCAGATGTATGACACACATCAACATTTACACATCTATTAGTTTGAGTTATGACACTCTCAGTGCCTGATCTAGGCATGGGATGGTATGAAATTGACAGTATGATAACCTTGGGCAAAAATATCACGGTTTCTTGATATGACGGTAAGATTACAGCTCTAAAAAGTTTGTTTTGAAATTTGTATTTAAAAACAAAAAAGAAAATAACTTTTCTATTATCATACTCAACTTTAATTATTTTTAGAAGCTGTTTTTAGATCTCAGAGGTGTTATGCTGAAATTTTATTTACCTGTGTGCATCTGTACTTTGATGTTTAACACCTAATGTAGTTAGATTATCCTGATGAAGTTTACATCTAGTAAGATAACTGCTTTTCTACTGCTTTATTATTTAAGACAAATCAGTGTATACTGCACGACAAGTCTTTTTATTGAAGTGATGTATCACCTTGGAGGTTTTTATTGTGTTTTAAATTTCAAAAGGGTTTTTCACGTAAAGATTATATAATTATATGCACACAGAAACAAGAAATCACAGCTATGAACGCGTTTATGAACCGCACATTCAGCTAACGAGCTGCTCGGCTAAAAGAAACATTTAGTTTTATTGCCTTTCACCTAAAACTTATCAAATACACAATCCAACAACTCAAACAGTTCTGCAGACAAGTTGTGATCAGTGCATTAAAACCACAGCAACATGGTGATGTGTTTTTACAATCTGATGCTAACGTTAGCTCGTTCGTTTCAAGATAGCACAACTCTACCTGGAGCTGTGATCATGTTAGATGTGTTGCCTCTACAGTCCACATTGCTGTCGTCTTTACAGCGTCCTAACTATTTTCATATAGCTGGATTTAATCTTTTAGACAGAGAAAAAGTTTAGGTAACTCTGTTCTTCAGCCACCACACAAACCCCCGCAGAGCTGCGAGTGATGACAGGCAGTCTGCTGTGGGAGTGTGCAGGGGAAAGTGCAGCTGAACAGACCTGAGGAAAAATAAACAAAAAACGCTTTTCGTTCTGTCATACCATAGGCACGGTATGACAGAAAACTTTAGTGGTTTTGAAACCGTGACTTTTTCAAATCACAGTATACCTTGAAACCAGTATTCGGTCCATGCCCACTAAACACCCTTCTGTTTTCAGTCTGTAGAAAACATTTCATGTGTATTTGCAGTAGTGCTGTACCAAACGATTATTTTTTTTGATTAATCGATTGTTCTAACAACAAATCTATAAGTTATTCTGATGTGAGTGCACTGGAAATTTAAAATGTTTTCATCAAATTTACAAGAACAGTTCTATAATATTGTAATATTTTCTGTAATAGTTTTTTCATGAACACAAAATATGCACTCTAGAGTCAATTCTTTAACAAAAAAAGCTTAAAAGATTTAACATCAACATAAAATCTCAACCAAAGCATATAAAATTCAAGTAAAAGAAATGTTAAGAATCTAACAAATGAACTAAATCATACAAAATTCAAGTCACTCTGGAAAAACTATATCAAACA